GCTAAAATAGTGTACTTATGATGACCCCCTCTCCCCCGGGTATACACTCTTAGAATTGACTGCTAGAAAGCCAAATAATTACCAAAATTACTTTATTTTTAATTCATATTCTGTCCCTCTTGGATGTTGAGCCAACTTAGACCTCATTTGTTTGCACTTAATAAGAGTCTGAATCTATATCAATCAGATCTCAGCCCATTAAGTGTATTTATTTTTTTATTTTTAAAAAGTATGAATAGGTCTGATTGGGTCTGTTTTGGTTAGACCTTTAATTGAGTCTTAATTCCGTTCAGAGGCTAAAAATACAGAAAATACACGCCTCTCTTTTCGGTGCTCCTTTTCTGTCTCTTGAAATCAGACTATTTCTTCTAAATCCAAAACAACTTTCATCCTTCATGCGTCTCTCTCTTCAACGATCAAGCAGCCACCGAATCTTTTTCTTGGTAAGATTTTGAAAATTCTACTTGAAATTCTCCATCTTGTTTCCACTTTTCTAATGGTAAATTTCAGTTTCGAGTTTAGGGTTTAAAAATATCCCTTTTAAAATATGTTTGACTTGTGGCTAAAATAAAAGGATGTATTGATAAAAATTACGGGTATAGATGGGATGGGTTAATTTCAATACAAAGAAGAACATTGTCGATAGTTTGACAAAGTGTTACTTTGAGTATTCTTTCTTGGCCTTGGCTTCATTTTGTTTGGGTTTGTTGGAATTTTGTTTGATGAGGAGTGGTGAAATCTTTGCATATATATGGTCTGTATTGAATTTTTAGGCTTCAATTCTTTTCACTAAAGCAAAACTTTGTATGTATATATACACATAGAATAATTTTTTAACCAAAGAAATTAGAAAAGATAAGTTTTTAAGTATGAACTTCTGGAAATAGCTGTGATGATCTAGTTGTCAATGGTCAAGTTTACTCTTTTAGTTCACATGTAGTTCACATCCTGCAATTGAAGTTCAAGTTTATAGTTCACATCCTGTAGTAGAAGTTCAAGTTTATAAAACAGAAGAAAATCCCATTCAAAAAAAAAAGAAAGATAAGAAATAGTTTATGTATGATCATATAAAGCAAAGTCATAATAGCAGCTAGCAGTACATCTATCTCTTCCTTGAGAGAAAATGTCATTCGTCATGTATACATATCTTTTTTGTAAGATTTATATCTCACTGCTTTATGAATATTTGTATGCTATTGCTCTTGAATTATTCGTCATATGTTACATGTTCTATAATTGAACCATGCTTTATTTTGTTTATTCAAGAAAAGCTTCGTTACTTTCTCATTTGTTTCCTATTTTATGTTTAAGATCATACCATTTTCTACATCTTTGCAATCTACATACAGATTATTTACTTAGAAATATACAACTTATCTTTTTGGCTTTTTACTTTATTTCTTGATTGTCTCTGTTTTTTTTAATATTAGTCGATGTTTTTTAATCACTATAATCTTATATTTCAGATATGGAATCTAATAAAAATGTAAGAGTGAGTTAGAGAAATATGGATATGGTAAAAACGTTTTTAGAAACTTGTATTCAAGAAGTATCTTTAAACGGAAGACTTGGAAGTAGTTTGAAGCCGGATTCATGGAACAAGGTTAAGTTAGTTCTGGAGACTTTTCATGGTTTTAAAGTTAACCAAAAGCAGATGAAGAATCACTATGATTATCTAAGAGAAAAGTATCAAGCTTGGTTGCCGATAACTAAAAAGACTGGCAATATTTATGATCCAGCAACTAATACCATTCTAATGTCTAATAGTGAGTGGGATGAGTACATAAATGTTAGTTCATTATCCATTAATGTTTTCTTTTTTTCTTTGTAGAAAATGGTTTGACGTGTATATTAGAAGTATGATCTTATATATTTGGATATAAGCGCATCCAAAAGCCAAGACATTGATGAGTTCACCTCTACCCTTCCCGAATCTTTGTACTGCACTTTTCGAGGGTTCTACTGCAACCGGCATTCATGGTTGGAGTCCAAGTTGTTCAACTCCCCGACCTGGTGTCTCATCTTTATCTACTAATGTAGATATAGATACCCTTGATTATGTTGAAGATCTACATGGTGACAAAAATGATGGAACTTCTATTAATTCTCTAGTTTCAACAGAAAGGAAAAATACGGGAAAGAAAAGAAAAACCACACTGTCTCGAGTAGAAATTGATGATAAGATGAGTACTGCTTTGGAGCTATTGATTAAAAAAAATAGTGCGCCTAATGTTGAGGAATGTATGATAAAATTAGAGGGACTTGGATGGGAAGAACCGTTATACAGTGCAACTGTTAGTATACTTTGCGAAGGTGATAGCTATAGACACGCATGGATGCAAATGACAGAGGTCGACAAATTGGAGAGTTGGGTCAAAGCTATGGGGGAAAAATAGGAATGCTTTAATTTTGCTAATTAATTAGCTGGAATATGTTTTAGATGTTGATTTTATGCAATATTTTCTTTATTATTTTTCAATTGGTATCTATTATGAAACTTTGTGATACTATATTATGCTTTGAATAAATTTATTCGTGAAATACACTTTTTCAGTATTTGTTTATGCTTGATGACTATATAATAAACTTTTATAATGACTTTGTTGTGCTTCTGTAATTTCTTGTGCTTATAGAATATATTTCATGTCGTGCTTACTATTGCTTATTATATTTTTCTCTTTGTTAAAACAGGTTGGACATGGATATCGACGATCAAATATTGTTGTTGATGTGCTTGTATTGGCATAGAAATAGTTTTAGACTGGAGTATGATCAAAGAAATAAAGATCTAACTTCATCTTTATTTGGTCAAAAGTATACGTTGGAACTATTGTCAGACAATAATCGACAATGTATAGAATTGATGCGCATGTCACGTGATGCATATGTTAGGTTATGTCAACATTTTAGGCACAATGGATAGCTCACAGATAGCAAACATATATTTGTCGAAAAGAAGATAGCAACATTCTTAACAATTATAGGACATAACGAGCGTTTTGTGGTTATTAAGAGAAGATTTCAACATTCTTCGCAAACAGTGCATAAGTACTTTCATGAAGTTCTTGACGCAATGATGAAATTTGCAAATGAGATGATAGAACCTACAACATTTGATACGAATCTGAATATTCCTTGTGCTAATAACAGGTTACGAAGAATTTTTAAGGTATTATTTATTATACTACTATCTTTATAGAATTTCACAAGAAATATTTTTTTCTTTACTTTTAACTTAAATTTATATATTGGCAGGGAGCAATAGGTGCACTAGATGGGACATTAATACATGTTGTTGTTCCGGTTAATCAACAGATTATGTACAGAGGAAGAGGAAAGGGTAAATGTTATCAGAATGTTCTGGCAATGTGTGACTTCAATATGGTCTTTACTTATGTTTATGCTGGATGGGAAGGGGTAGCACATGATGCACGTGTTCTAACAAAAATTGTATCTAACCCAGAAAATAGCTTTCCATTCCCCCCCAGCTAGTAAGTGATACAACTTAAACAACTGAAATAATATTTTAGCTTTTCAATATGATCACGTAACTCGTTTTTCTTAATGTCAGACAAATACTATCTATGTGATGCGGCATATCCTAGCACGGGTAAGGCCTCATTTGTTTTTTTTAAAGATTAAGACGTCTGAATCTGAATGCACGTCTGAATATTAAGATGTGGTATGTAGATCTGAACACTGAATGATTAAGATTGTTTGTTTTTCAACATCTGAATACGTATAATATATTTATATTTCAACATAAAAAAATATACATTTCAAAAAAAAAAAGTGATTAAATACTATATCAATTAGTGAAAATATTAACTTGAACAAAAAAGTTATTATTTGAGATAAATTGAAATATTATAAGATATAAATCAATATTTTATGTTTGATCCAATTGTTAAACTATTTGAACTATAAATGGAAATTATATATCAATAACAACAATTGTAGTAACGAAATGTAACCAAAACAAAATATATTGAACGTAAATTTATCTTCTAATCAAACTTATCCAACAAATTAAAACAATAAACTCAAAACTAGTTATAATTTAGATGCACAAATATTAGAATATTTGAAGATCTAATTGATAATTAGATCAAGTTTTAACATTCAAACACTGAAAAAAATACTTTAAATGACTAAAATAAAAAACTCTCAAGTATTTCCTCTTCTTTGTACTAGTTTGAGTGCGAGTTGCTCGTGCATATCATTCATCATCTGAGAATCTTCAACTGTCCAGCTAGGTCCATCAGTTTCACTCAATACTTCTTCATGTTGCTGTTCTTCGTCAAATATTACTTGAGGCAAATCAAACTGATTAAACAAATCATCATTGATGCGCTCCTTTTTGATAAAATTATTAACCGCAAAACATGCAATAACAATATCTCTTTGGATATCATTAGGATATGGAGGCATCTTATCCAATATCAGGAATCTTGCTTTCAATACTCCATAAGCACGCTCGATGACATTTCTAAGTTGTGCATGCGCATGATTAAAGTTTTCCTCCTTAGTTATAGCACGCATGCGATGATAATCTCAACACGTGCTTCTATAGTGTAATTGAAGGGCAGGGCACGTGAGAGGCATTTGCACGAATTAAATGACATTCGTCGATTGACTCATTAAATAGTTAGCTCAAACTTTCGTTTGTTTTGTGACCTAAATTTCATCTTTAACGGTAATATTATCGTTGTGCTATATATATCACTACTAAAAAATAGAAATTAGCGATATATGAATTCTTTAACATAATAAATCCATCGCTTATCCTATTTAGCGACAGATTATCAAAAACTTTATTTGGTACGAACGATTTAGTAATAAATTAGCAACAAAGTTCGTAGCTAATTTTAATTTTTTTGTTATAGGAACTTCCGTCCAAAAATATTAAAGGCAAACATTTTGTTAAAGCATAAGGTAGAACAAATTCAAGTATAACCATCATACAAATAGCTAGCTTTACCCGGAAGGAACTTGCGTACTTTATATTAACATTAAACGACATGCTAATTTGTATCATGTGTAAGAAAACTTTAAATAGTTGAAGCTTATAACATGGTAAAAATAAGTCAAAGCATTCTAATGTGGGGAAAATCCTTAACAAATCATGAAATTTCATTTAAAAATACATTTTAAAATGTTAGTAAACAACAACAACAACCCAGTATAATCTCACTAGTGGGGTCTGGGGAGGATAGTGTGTACGCAGACCTTACCTCCACCCTGGGGTAGAGATGCTGTTTCCGATAAACCCCGGCTCCCTCCCTCCAAGAACTCCCCACCTTACTCTTGGGCTGACTCGAACTCACAACCTCTTGGTTGGAAGTGGAGGGTGCTCACCACTAGAGCAACCCACTCTTGTCTAAAATATTAGTAAAAAAAAAAGTAAAAAAAAATCACATAAACTAAGAACCCGTTTGGACATAAAAAAAAATTTACTTTTTTTGGAAAAAATTTCACTTTTTTTCCAAAATCAGTGTTTGGCCATATTTTTTTAAATTTTCACTTGAAGATGGATTTTGAAATTTTTTAAAAATTTGAAAAACTCCAAAAAATCTGTTTTTCAAAATTTTCACTTAGATCACTCACAAAACTTCAAAAAACAACCCAAAATTATATTCATGTCCAAACACAACTCTAATTTTCAAATACCATTTTCACTTTAAAAAAAAATTCCACTTTTTTCCTAAATTTTACAATTCTTATGTCCATTTTTACAATTCTTATGTCCAAACGCCCACTAAAACAGTGGGAACGAAGGAGTACAATTTTTTTACAAAAGAGAATATAAAAACTAATATTAATATATGTATTCAATATTTTTACTTCTTACAACATTGTTATATGTCTAATTCATAGTAAAATTTTAAACAACATTCTTATCTGATATTAATCCAAATATTAATAAAGAGTGTAAAAATTGTACAAATTAGAAATGATTTATAAAAATACAAAAAGAAAATAAACAAATCGATGCGGAGAACACTTTCATACAAAATTACTAACACGTTACTATATATTTACACAAAATACTTCCAATAACACCCAACATAGAATTGCAACACTCCTCCCTTACCACTTAGCTAAACCACAACATCAATTAAAGGAGAAAAAAATAAAGGGACACATAAAGAGAGGAGGCTATTAATACAGACTAATTAAATTTCCGACATATTTTTTTATTTTTCCATAACTTTTCTACACATAATTAATTAAGTGTTACTACACTCTGGAGGAAACCCCTGAGGAAATCTCTTAGTATCAGCACAATAATTATATATCATGAACTTCTGCTGCACCCATCTTAATCTTTCTTGGCTCACAGGATCCAATTTTGCTGCTAAAATTGTGCAATTTGAATTAGAATTAGAATTAGAAGTGCAAGTGTGGGCATTGAAGTTTCTATAAGAGGCAGAGAAAGGGGCATTGCTCCAATCAGTCTTGATTAAACCACCCCTCGTTGCCCATTGATCAGCATCCCATAAGCTTGAGTATAACTTCATTGGTTGTGATTTTGGGAATGCCACACCTTTATCTTCCAAATTCTTGAACTCCCTTATTGGTACATTGTCCACTGAAAAACTGAAATCATTTTGAAGTTGGAGACAAAAGAATGTCAATATGTGCAGTTTAAATTCAATATACTGATAGTATGTAAGAACAATTTTTGTGTTATCATGTCATCAAAAAGATAACTATTATTAATTGTCCTTCAAAGACACGAATAATAATGTGAAAAATAATGCTTGTTATAATAAACGGAGCGAGGAATCAGGATTTGAACCGTATGTGTTTCTAAATTATATGGTAATAATACAACTTTAGCTGATCGAGAACATGAATCTTGATAGAAGAATGTGAAAGTCGAGAATTAGAGTAAAATGTTAGGTTACTAAACGTTTTTCTTTTCCATACCGATAATATTCGCATTGCTCTTGCATTCCTTTAGGCTTAGTTTTTACCATATGTTGTTCTGTTTCTTACTCCTATCCACTTTATTGTCTCTTTCACTTCGGTTTACCCAATATCGTGTTGTTGGTACTATTTATTGTTATTGCTTCTTTCTCATATTTTATTGTGACTTGGGTCTATAAAAAATATTCTCTCTATCTTCACAACAGTAGAGATAAGGTCGCATACATCCTATCCCGACCCCATTTGTAGGATTCTCACTGAGTTTGCTGCCAGACATAAGGTGATAGAGTGTTAATAAATGAGTTCAGAATTAATATTTGAAATGTCAATTTAGATAAGTTAAAAAAAAACACTTGGCCTAGTTACTATTTTCGTGGTACGCAAAAACATTTTTAGAAGTAAAAGAAATACGCAACTCCTTAAAAAAAATTGTTAGACTACTTACACAATCGTCTGTGGATTCCAAAGGACAGAGTAAGTGTGGAAATCAGCAGTAGGATCAAACCACAAGTGGAATTGCTGCTCTCTTTCACCTTTGCCTTGTGTATACACATTTGTATGCACAGTGTATGGCTCTCCACTCAAATTCCCAAGAAACTCAAAGTCTATCTCATCATGGTTTG